GGATTGTTTTTCTTGTTTTTAGGGGGAGGGGTGTTGAGGACTGGAATTGAATACAGAATGGGAAAGTGTCCTGAAACTTTCGTTCAGTTTCTCACCCTATCCAACGCCTACTCATTTTCTCCCACGGTCCTTCCTGTCTTACTGTGAATGGATGTTTGAGCTGGGCAATATCCGACTTCTAAATTCGGTCATTCATTATTTATTATTTTTACAAAAGAATAGCTTTGTCCCAGAGCAACTAATCCATTTTACAATTTTACAGTTCAGAACTGTTTTGAAACTAAATAGATTTCTGTTTTACTTTTGTATTTGTTTTTTCTGTGACTTTGTGTTCTCCCGTGTCATTCTTTGGTTTTCTTCTTTTTTAAGATATTGACTAATAGGTGCGGGAATAGAGTGAGATTGAAATTACGTCGTCTGGTGTTTCTGTGTAAAAATGTGATTGTCAATAAAAAGTATTTTCATATGTGATTGACTATTGTTCAGCTTTAGAAACAGCATTGTAGATTAATGTTTGCTAAGACGTAAATATGATAACAATTGTTCTTAACACAGGGCCGGTGGTTGACTTCTTTCTTTTCTTTTAATACATTTCCCAAACAAGGTCATTGTACAAGAACTGGGTACAGCCAAAATCTTGCTTACAGGAGAGGGGTTGTGGTTCAGTTATACTGTAATGTTGCTGTAGGAAGCAAGAGGCAAAAGGCGTGGAAGAGATAGATATGATTGTTTATTCGTTTCTCTATTGTGATGATTTTTTAAACTCTTTTTCATTGGAGTAAGGTCGAAAAAATGATAGCGTGAGATGATTGGGCTTGGGGGTTGAAGGCGGGAATAATGCTGGCCCATAATGTTGTTATGTCCACGTGACAAAGACGAACTTCAATGTGGTTTTATGCTTGTGTATGTGGGTAATGCAATGTTCTGGGCGATGTTAGAACGGATTTTGAATAGGATTTGAATATTGGAACTTCAACAACCACTATCTGCTTATCTATCTATCTATCTATCTATCTATCTATCTATCTATCTATCTATCTATCTAT